CCCAGGACCCCCTAGCTACGTCTCTCCTGATTGCACCTACATCAATGTAAATGTAAGATACCAGAACGCGGTCATTAATCTATCTTTAAGCGGAACAGTTACCCATCAACAATTTCCCGGAATCAGCCGGAGCGCCTTCAGATTTGTGTGTAGGCAACACAGCATTGCTTCCGAGTTTATAAAGTTGCATCTCTTGTATTTATTCCATTCGATCTCCATATTAAAGTTTAGCCTTCTTTTAAAAACCAAGCCTCTCTTCATATTGAGTCATAACTGATAAAAGTAATGGTTTTAAAATAAGAAAACTTTCTAAAATTTAGCCTTACATATTAAAAAAGCCAATGATATCTTCTTATCACGAGAGGATTTTCATGACTTTGACTGGAATCCAAGAATTAAGTGTAAACGCTACCGAATGCTACATGTTTATTAAAAGTAATTGTTTTGCGTAAGAGGGTAGTAAATTAAAATTCTAGTTGTATTTATCGTTACTAATATAATAAATACTGATGATTTTTTATCTATATGTAGTAATAGAAACAAACTTATATTTCCTTTATCTATTGATATTATTTTTCATCTAATTATGATAATTGTATTTTCTTTTCGACAATTGTAGCTACTACGCTAAGAAAAAGAATAATTGTGGCCACGGGGAAGCTAATAGAATCGGCATAAAATTAAAAGATTTTCGTGATCTTGATTTAAAACAAACACTTAGAGTACACTGAAGTACCCACAAAATATTTCAGATTTGACTGTGAGTGTCTCACACAGGCAATTTCGCGACGTGTTTTAGACTTTCCACCGACAAAACGTGGGAGATTGTTCTGTTTCCTGGACACCACCAAGTTCTCGGGAACACGTTAAATGCCAAAAGTACTTAGGGAAAGCAAACGTTGAAAATTAGTGAAACAGCGAGAGGGGTCTTCGAGGCCGTTTATCACCGTTTTTCCGGCGAAAGTGAAAGCTAGGCAGTTGCCGCACCGCTCTGAATAATCCACGGTTTCACATTGTCATGCAATCTCTGGCTCCTCTAAAATGACTAGTCTTGCGACTGGCTCCCATTCAAACAAGAATTGGCATTCTCGTTCGACTGCCCTTAAGGATTTTTAGGGTGCTGGCACTACTTTCTCATCGCTGATCCTTCAACAGCTGATATTTATGAACTTATAAATTCTAGCTCTAGCACCTATTCAAATAGTTCCAGTTTCTTATAAACCCAAATCTATTTTCATCCACCTCCAGATTTTGAACCACCTCCTTTTCACTGGAGAATTTTCTCCAGTGACTCTTGACTCCACTGTCTCCCTAACCACACTCTCCTCATCCACGCCTCGCTCTTCCACTAGGACGACTTGTGCCCCCGGGCTAATCTCAGCACCAAATTGGATCAAAACCCATGACAACATGTCTTGCTCCTCTAATTGATCAACCAACTGTCTGAGTTCAACCTTAGACGGTTCCCTTCCGTTTCTGAAATACCGAGGAAATTTGGTTTTTGCCAAATCCCTCAGTTCCCCCAGCTTAACCGCTTGTTTCCAAGAGCCGGCTTTAATGGTATAAGTTCCAAACCGTGGTTTCATTAGTCACCTAGTTTTATCACCTTTACGCTCAATAAAGCTATCGTCCCAACGAAAGCAGACATCAAAGAAAATTGGGACAAATTCAGACACGAAATTCAGTGAAAAATAAAAAAAACGCTCAAAAGGAAGTATGACCATTAACGTAACCCTAAATTGACATAAGTTCAGTTTCCAACCCACCCTAGGGCTCGCAATCTAAGGCAAGGACAGCTTGGTTTGTCCCGTTAGGTATGGGTTGTGGAGGAACTCGCCAATTTGTTGGAGCAGGAAGCTGTAATGGAATAGGGCCATATCACTTACGTTTCTAGGGCCACATTCCATTTGTGATGACCCTGATCAGGGTCGTCAGGGGGACGTAGCTGGAGCGTCGCGACGTCAGCCGACGGGACGTCTCTAAATAGAGATATCTCGAGCTGACGTCACAGAGCTCCAGGGGGAACTGTTGCGTCGGACAGTGGTCGCCCGTGGTCTCTCTATGGAGAGAGATCTCGTGCAGACCACCTACGCAACACAACACTGGGTGCTCTTTGGGGGGGGGGGGGGGTCGTTGACCCTCCAAAAAATGGAAAATGTAGTCAATGAAGAAAGAACGAGTCTGTCCTTGACTGATTTCCGATTATATTTTTCTGAGTTGACAAATCCTATCAGCTGAAAAGAGATCGACAAGACTGAAAGGATAGCTAAAAAAGGGGAAAGAGACTCCAAAAATGTGAACGGTGTTTTGGAACAACCGGAGTCGTCCGTCTGACCTATCGGCTCGTCGATGACGCGCAAGTGCAGGCTTGAGCCCTCAGCACAAGCACCAGACGACCGTGTAGCGAAGACTGACTCTCCTCGAGCGTCCGAGCAAGTCGCCCAGCTCCCTACGCTCGGGTCGGCCGGCGGAGCGCATGCGCATTTCCCAGCGGACATCAGCATTTTTCCTAAAGTCGGTGCTCCTTCTGACATTGCCAATTTCCCCTTGTAATGATGAATTGTCTGGGAAAATTGGGCGTCTCCTCACACATTATGCTTTCTGGCTCCGTATCCCAGTCAACGAATATTTTCCTTGCCGGCCCCATCTCCGCCGTTGTGAAGCCTAGGTACCGCTGCTCTTGGGGACGCCGCAGGTGTATCCATCGTAATTCCTCGTCTCGTGCAGTACCAGAAGTTGCGCACTGCGTGCCCCAGCTTCCTCCAGGCCGCCTTGATATGGCCCCACGCTTGCCGGCAGCTGTCGGATGGGAGGTCGATCTCGGTATCCCAGTCAACGAATATTTTCCTTGCCAGTCCCATTTCCAGTGTCGTGAAGCCTAGGTACCGCAGCCGCCTTGGGGACGCCGCAAGAAGCCGGGGTGCGCCTCGGATCTGGATAACAATGCTGAATGATAGGCCATTGTGTAGATGATCGATAGAGGTGCACAGCAAGGTCCGACGAAGTCCGAGGACTGAAGGTCCGAAGGGTCGGGAGTTGGTTCTGCGGTGCGTAGAGAGGAAGGCGTAAAAGCGTAGTGAGTCCGAAGGTCCAAAATTTGAGGGTCCGTGGGTGAGATGGTTCTGCGCTGCGAGAGAGGAAAGCGTAGGAGCGTAGCGAGTCCGAAAATTGAGGGTTCGTGGGTGAGATGTCCAGAGCTGGATGCCGCAGAGTGACTACCCTGAATCTCGCAGCGCTTATACACCTGATTCATTCAATTTTTTTCGGAACGGCAATTTGGCTGAGTTCCGAAAATGTGGACATAACTTGACAATATTCATGTCTCCAATTTTCCCCCGACACTTTACTGCTCGACGCGGTGATCTTAACTTGCGCCTCACCTTCGTAGGGTTGCCAGATCGGGCAGAGAATGTTCTCCTTACCGGCGACTCGTGTCCTGGCGTTTGTTCGTGCCCCCGGCGCTTTACATGGGGGCAATAATTTCCTTGGCCCCAGGTTATAGGCGGCCTGCTCATCCAGAGCAGGGTCTCCTTCCGCTGACTGTTCTGGACTCTCCGCCTTCTCTGCGCGTGGATGATATTTTTTCAACCTCTCGCCGTCAATTTCCTCCTTTATGCCGCCCCACTGTACTTCGAATGCCCCAGGTAGCAGTTGCCTAACAATGATTCCTGGTTCGCGTTTCCATTTTTTCCGCAGCTTTCCCGATACTCCTACTTTTTTATTCGGGTCAAAACACAAAACTGCATCGCCGGGTTGTAATTTTATGGGCTGATGGCGGTCATCAAAGGCCGCCTTGTGGTGCTCCTTTGCTTTTGCCACTTCCGCCCGCAAAAGCTCCCAGCCTTTACAAAGCTTCGCTAATACTCGAGAAACGGGACATTCCCGTTCTTTTTGCAAAATATAACACATGAAGACCCTCATTACGAAAGCATCAAGCTGACACACGTAATTACTGAAACCTAATTAACTTTTCGGCTTTTCTTACAAAAAAATTTCTAACCATATTACACTTGACTATCCACACTTTTAAAGCATCGGGTCCACGCCCAACATCCGACACACTTCTCGCCTAGTTTTCCCAAACAAATTGCCCAATTACGACTCCGAGGCGCGCAACAAATCATCAACACCACCAGCAACTCCAAACAAATGATCCTCCGCGCACATTTCCAGCCTCTCTCACACTCTGGGACCAAAGCCCGCCGGCCCGGAAAATGCGCGCGGAAACCCACCTGCCCACAGCCACCCCGGTGGGTTTCTAGGCTCTTGAAACGCACGCCACCCTCCTGGCCAACAGACCCGGGAGTGACGAGCAGATGTTAACGGGGGCGAATTTCCACCAGTCAAGGTTTTAGGGGATAGGAGCCCTTGAGAACTCCAAAACCCGAAGAATAGACTCAAGAACGGACTAGTATAGGTATTTCATTTTTAATGCTGCCAAACCTGGCCTGAGAATTTCTTTGATCACAAGTATCGCTCGGCTCCTGACCGTGTCCGACCGCGGTGAGTGGACTTCGCCCGTTTACACGATTCGAAAGTCAAAGCATCCGCGAATTTTCACTAGCTTTTCTCCGGCGAGAGCACGACCGCACCGCTCGAATGATCAACACCGAATGTGGCCCAACGGGTGCTGGATGCTCTAAGATCGAAGGAGGATGGTAGAAGAAGCCGATAGGAATGGAGAACCGATGCCAACACAGAATTTAATCACGGGCCACTCAAGATTCATTCACATTTAAAACACAGAAATACACAACACTAGATTATAATCAGACGTACTTCGTCTCGAACGACGATTAAATTTGGTTTTACCCTTAAAATTTAGTTAAACGTTAGTGAAATGGTTAGAACACAAAGCAGAACTTTTTAGGTAAAGACCTCTCGAAAATAACAAAACCACATACGAAACTCCGCAACACGCGATCCCGCAAACGACCGAATCACACTCTCGCAAAACAAAGGAGGGACTGGGCCTACGCCTCTTGTACCCACCTCTGCGCCTGAGAAAACACGACTCACTTCAGAGATGATGTTTAGGCGCTACCCTGGGCCAGAGATGCCAGGGAAGCGTCGGTTCCCATGGGAAAATGCTGGGGAAAATTCTGAAGCAGCAAAAATTCAGACTCCCAACCACGCTTTCCAAGAATTGCCGGACAGGCAGTGTCATGGGCCGCAGCCAAATTCATCAGAGTCCCGCAAAATTTTCAGAGATTCTCTCCGGAACAGTGCGGGCCCCTGACCGATTTGGCAGCTTCGCGTGTCTGCCGGAAACCGATGGAAGCGTGATTCTTGGGCAGTTTTCTCAAAACGCATGAAAATGCAAGGCAAGCGACTGGAACGCATCCGCTTGACCTGCTCCGTCGTCGTCCCACCTCCCAGTTTCCGCCGCTAGCGTGAGAAAATATTCACGGCGCTGCCCGAGGAAAACTTTGAATCCCGAAGAAATTCAAAGCTTTTCCCGGGCCGCGCCGCGAATTAAGGGCTGAGAATTAGCGGCCCAAAGGCAAAATGACCGTTTCACTCTTTTGCCCCCCGCATCACAATATCGCAAAATGTAATCCACTTTAGGAACGAGATTTATAGCAAGGCCTCAGAACATTAAGCGCGATTGTAGGTTATTACCTGTGTCGAGTCAGCGAAGCACTGCGAGTTCACGCCTCGCGCCAGCGCGCCTTCAATTTTGCAGATGCAACACGGACATCCGTCAAGCACGAATAGTTGTATCTCTGCGCCGTCATGCATTAACGCACGTCCTTTCAAAACCGAAGAAATTCTGCGAAGCAAATTCTGTACCATCCTGTGTGCCTATCGTAGGAGTACATTTAACTCATTCGCATATGAGTCTGTGTATTACCGGCGCAGAAACATTCGGACCAGGTTAAAGCATTAAATTCGGCAACTTGCTGTAAACCAACTCGGAGGGCGTAAAATTTGTACAGACGTGAGGGGTAGTATGCTGCCGTGCTAAGGAAGAACGCCGTATGAACCTTCAGGCGTTGCCAAATTTCCTTCGATGAAACACAAAATTCCTGATGAACTTATGAATATTTTCCTCTCAATTTTCCAAATAATTTTGTTAGCAATTTCCCCTAAAGTCCCTGAAAATTTCAAGGAAAAGTACTCACATCTTTCTTCAAAAATAAACATTTTATCGAAGGAAATGCGGCAACTCTCGAATGTTCATACGGCGTTTTTCTTTAGCACGGCAGTATTATACGCAAAGGCAAAAATAGGAAGAATCCGATCCCACGCTACTTGATGTAACGGCTCCTGCCTGCGCAAAAATTCATTTAAGACTCTGTGGCTTTCTTTCTATAATATTGCTATATTTCTCTAAAACTTTGTCTGTTGAACAAGTTTTGAGCACTTGGATCGAACGCTCGGTCTTGTTTTGTCCTCCTTTCGTGAAAAGAATGCAATGCACGTAGGCGTATCGCGTCTCTCAACTATGATTTGTTAAACAAGAAAGCTCGAATCAGTGGAAATTGAATTCCCTAACAGAATTTTCCTTCATTACTTAACATATTGATTTTGTAATTTAAGGATACTTTTTCCGTTTAAATTACCAGTAAAAAGTTATAATTTTCAAAATTAGTGTTCTGTAAACTCAAGTTATTTACTGGTCGAAGTCTTTAAGTTCTCTCGTAATTATGAGCTTGTTTGTTAAATCCCACTAAAAGCAACACCAGAAAGCACCAAACGGCACCAAAACCTCTAGAACACCAAAACGCTGCACCACAATTGGCTATGTTTAAACACCGAAAGGATATGCTGAAACCTAGAAAATGAGAAATTTTACCATTTCTGGGGCACTATTAGAGAGTACTTTGATATTCCTCCTATATTTGGACTAAACAGGCACTCGTAGCCGATGGCTTTTCATTCCCGCGGCTTAAATTTAACTCTGGTCGTAAAAATCTCACATCCAAAATTCGGAGCAGAAATTATTTAAAATTTTCGTATTCTAGAAACTAATAAGTTTTGGTAACGGGGCACAGCTCATTTGAAAAGGTCTTTTTCCGCACCATCTGGCAGGTTTGCCCGCGGAGAATGTGGCACAAAGGGCGGGGTAGCAAGGGCTCTGTCGAATATTTTTCTAGCGTGTCTGCTTCGTTTTCATATACCACAAAGCAACGGTCTATGGTGAGGGGGATGGGTGGGGTAAGGCTTAGGGTGGTTTCCGCACTAAGAAAAAACGGAAACGGGGCACCGCCGCCAAATTAATAAGAAATTCACCGGTAGCGTGGCGTGCTTTGCGATATATCGATTTTTATGCCGTTTAAACGAATGGAAAAGGATCGATACACGGGGTGTTCGCAGCGAACACCTTAATAATCGATTCTTTACCATAGGTTTATATGGCAGAACAATCGATACATCGCAATTCACGCCATGCCACTGCAATTCACCGACCTACTCCTTAATCGTCGGGTACCGGTAGGCAAGTTCTTACTTTCAAAATTGATAAACGAACAATTACCTACTTATTAAGGACTTGTAAATTTTTAACGTCCATTCTTTAGCGAACTGTAATCTGAGGAGGGAATAGAAATTGAGAATAGGGAATGAAACTTACATTCTCTTCCTCAAGTAGCCACGCCTGTTTTGAAAACACCATGGTGTGTCTTGTTGTTGTTGTTTCATTGATATTTTATGCTTCTGTTCCGCTCACGATCCTGTGCAGTCCACTCGCTTTCAAAAATATCTGTGCCTCAAATTTCCAAATTTGTGTCGACAGGAGAGGGGGAAAGAGACGGTAACTCCGTGAGATGCTGTAACCGAGTGAAAGTCCAAGTTTCTTTGGAAAAGTAACAAGCAAGAATCGAGCGTCATACGTAAGGCATTGACAAATATGAAGATAAACAAGGAAAACATTAGGAGCAAAGTTCAACAATTTTGAAGTTTACACGGCCTTTGTCAGAATTGGCGATTCAATGATCGACCGCACGGAAAAAAAAGTGTCAGGGATTGAACTGCTTGACTGCCTCTGACTTGCACTGGAACTTTCTTGCTGCAATAAATCCTTAAAAAAATGTCTGGCCTCTTCGAGGGTTCTGAAGGTGTAAGGAATCCCTCTCTTCTGAAGTTCTTCAGTAATGGCCGCCTTTGTTCCTTTATACGGATTTTTTATTCTTCCGCCCGGGTGATACTCCCAACACTGATGAACGCCGTCCTTTAGTGTCTCTTCCTGGACGAACACTATTTTCCCGTCCCGCTTTTCCTGCTTGAAAATCCCCCAAGCGAAGTCGTCGATACTCTCTTGAGCGATCTGCGAGATCAGGGCTGCTACTTCTAGTTCACTTGCCACAAGGTTTTTTGGAAACTTGCTCGGGTATTGTGGTCGTAGTAGGTCTACCACTTCCTTTATGTCGAGTGTTTTTCTCTGAGAATCCTTGAACTCTAAAACGAATGGCATCGGACCTACCTACAAGCAACTCCCGACCACATTCCCCAAGAGAGGAAGGAAAGAAAAAAAACGTTCACAATAAAATACTAAAAAAAATATAACAACACACGAGAAAAAAAACCCAAACAAAACAAAAACAAGTAGACGACTACTCTTTTCTACCTTAAAATACTCCTTGTAGCCTCCGGTGTTTCTTTGTCCCTCTGGTGCCGGTCTTCCTTCGGCCTCCACCATGTAAGGGGGGGGGGGGGGTGCTCAGGTGGCTGGGTAGAGCTGAGGAACAACGCCGGTTTGTAGAGTATTTTTTGGGTAGAAATATATTATTCACAACAAAACACACTTTTACAACAACTACTTCTGACTTCTACGACTACTTCTGACTTCAACAACTACTTCAAACATCAACTACTTCTTCAAACTTCAACTACTTACGCGTAGGGCTGCGGGCTTCTTGTATGAACGTTAGACCCCGGCACGTCGATTGATCAGCTGTTTTATAGCAGCGGACGAGGCGACCCATG